AAAAGGGTGTGAGGAGGGAGAAAGCTCTTGCAGGGTGGGTGACACCTACAGCTCCAGGACTTGCTGTGGGCAGTGCAGATACCTGCCTGCAGCCCAGCCCCTGCCAGGAAGGTTTGCACAGCTGCTTGGCTCTGTCCCCACCCTCTGGGCTTCTGAACCTTCTTCTGTGAAGCTTCAGCCTTGTTTGATGGATCAAATTCCCCAATTTCTTGAGGAGCAGCCACCATGGGGACCCTCCCACAGCCATGCTGGCAGCTGGGACCCTGTTGTGCACAGCAGAGCCTGTGAGCCCCAGGAGTGGGAGCTGCTGCGGAAGGAAGGAGACAGGACCAAGGCTGCCGGGTCAGGGCGCAGGAAGAGCAAAGCTGGGTGACGCTGTGTGTTGCCAACTCCAGCAAACCGCTCCTTGGAGCCTTGCTCACAGGCTTGCTGGCTTCCTCAGGCTCCTCCAAGCTGCCTGTCTTTGAAGAGCTAATGGCTGTGATTGTGTCATGCTCACAGCAGATGAAAGGCAGGGAACAGGCTCCTTCGCTCTTTAATCCTCTGCCTGGCCTCATCCTGTTCCAGCATCGTGGTGCATTCAGGGTGGACTTGCTGGTTTCTGCCATTCATCTCCCCATCCTCCCTCCTGGCTGCCCCGGGTGCAGTAGGAGCCTGGCAGGGCTGTAGGTGCAGACACTGGGTTGGGCAGATGAGTTACTGGAAGCACCAGTTCGCAGCAGGAGAGGTGAATGAAACAGGTTGGAGCAAGGCCCAAATTGGGCTTATAACCTGAGGTCTTGGGGAAATGGGGTGAGGAGGAGGCAGTGGCAGTGGGAGCTGGTGGGAGTGGGCCAGGAAGAAGGCCCGGAGGCCAGAAGAGATGATAGCAATAGGGAAATAAATGGGGCACCTTTCTTCAGCCCTCCCTTCAATGGTCACTGATCACTGCAAAAATGTGTTGAGACACAAGGAACAGAAGAGGTGGTGGTGAGGGAGAAACCAGAGAGCAGCAAACGCCGGGGCCAAGAGCAGCTCGGAGGGGCAGAGGTGCAGTCACAAGGAGAGTGTGAGCGGCAGGGCTGGTGCAGAGCTGCTGGGTGCAGGGGCCAGGATGATTTTCATGCTCCAGAGTGCAGCAGGTGAGGCTTTCTGTTAGCTAACACTTTGCAGGTTGGGTCTTTTTTTCTCCTTTCTTCCTATTTCACTTGCTGTTCCAGGCAAACAGCCCCCCCCCCCCCCCCCC